CAATGCATTTTTTTTATTAGCGGTACGTGAGCCCGAGCTCAACCGAGGTTCGACGGGTTTGATTCAGGCTGGACTCGAGCAAGCTGGACTGGAGCCTGAACAAGAGTTAAGTAATTTGAATTTTGAATTTCAAATTTCAAATAAAATATTTAATTCAGTTTTAATGAAATTTAATTAGGAGCTCTTATATGTTAAATTAAACTCCTCCCCCATGTGGAAATTCATTAATTCCGCGCGCCAATATCCTGGAACGTTCCTATGCGATTCCCCGGATACAAGATCACACTGAAAGCATTCGGCCTCCTTCCTCAGAACGAGATTACGAGCTCTCCCTCTGCACCGAGCCCTGCACCTGCCTCGTCTCCTCTTCCCGCACCGAAGCAAAAAAAACTTCTCCCGCACTTGCCTCGTCTCCTCTTCCCGCACCGAAGCCAAAAAAACTTCTCCCGCACTCGCCTCTCCCTCGACCGAAGACCGAAGCTCTTCGCCTGCGCTCATCTCCTCTCTGCGCCGATCCCGCACGCCTGCTTCGTCTCTTCTCCATACGATCGAAGTTGTTCGTCTCTTCCTCCCTGACGCACAGAAAACATTCGCCTCTTCTTCCTCCCGCTCGGCTAGCGTTTCCTGTAAGACTTTCTCGGGTTCGATCCCGCCTCCTTCACCCGACCAAAGCATATGCTGCATCTTCCACGCTGAATTTCCTGCTCGCCTCTTCCTCGCTCGAGGATCACTCGGCCGACTCCCTTGTTCGCATTGGAGGTAGGAGGAACACAGAGCTCCAGAACTTCTGAAAAGATTTGGAGCGCAGAAACTTAGCGATTGCAGTAACTGGGTAACGAATTCTTATTTTGTTACTGTACCGCTCATTTTATTTCTGCAATACATGCCTCTACGAGTTAGGAAGATTTACATACATGCTACTTAATTTTTGTGTGTTTTTATCTCTAACACCCAAACTTCAATGTTTACACACATACCACTCAAATTCTTCCTAACACAACGAATATCACCTTTTTTAACTTTTTAAAATACACATGTTCATGCTTAGGATTTATATGCTAATTTGGAAATAATTTGGGCATCATTTTGGAATAATTTCGACACTGTTTTGGGCTGAGTTCGCTGCAATCTAGGAGACTGTAAACTCCTTTTCTTGGACTAATTACACACTGTTTGGGCATCGTTTTGGGGTGCGTTTGTTGGTTGATTTTGAGAGGTTTGCACACTGTTTTGAAGCGAGTTTAAGGGTTGTTTGGGGTGTTTTGTGGGTTGGCATTGGAGCTGCTTGGGCACCGTTTTGACACGGTTTTGGCATTGTTTTGGGGTGTTTTTGTGGGCTAATCTTGGAGCCCTTAAACACTAATTTTGAAGCCTTTAAATGTATGATTTTTGGGACTGTTAAGGGGCTTGTTTTGCTGCACTTTCCTGAGTCCGTTTGGTGGCTTGTGGGTTGCACTTTTGGTTCAATTTTGTGGCTTTTGGGCTGCACTTTTCTGAGTTTCTTGTAGCTTTTGGATCTCATTTCTTTTTATGTTGAATTGGAAGGTTTTGGGCATCATTTAAACACTGATTTACATATTGATTTGGAAATTTTAAAAGTTGTTATTTTGGGCCGCTCAAAACATTGTCTTGGAGTAGATTTAAACACTCCTCTTGAGAGCCGATTTAATTACAGTTGTTAAAAGATTTAAATTTTTTTTTTTTAGGTTGATTCACTTGCTATTTCCTCTTTTGATTTGTTAATTTTGAAAGTGGATCAACCTTCTATCTTCATTTGTTTTGTTATTTTTGTTAAATAGTTAAGTCATAAAGATGGGGATTGATGATTTAATTAATTAGAAGGTATAGAAAACCTCAAATCACCTTAAGCATAAGTTAAAGTGTAGGTTTCCTATAATTTTAAGTGCACACCCTAGGTGAGAGTCTATCAACCTAGTCCTCAGTTTAGGCTTCCTTCACTTTAGAAGCTCACCCTAGGTGAGTGCCCATCCACTTAGTCCTCAGTGTAGATCTCATAGACTTTAGGTGTACACCCTAGGTGAGAATTCATTCACCTAATTCTCAGCATACGCTTCTTAGAGTTTTAGGAGCACATACCTAAGGTGAGAGTCCATCCACCTAATTCTCAGCATAGGCTTCTAGATTTTAGGGGCACGCCCTAGGTGAAAGTCTATCCACTTAATTTTTAACATAAGCTTTTTAGATTTTAGGAGCACACCTTAGGTGAGAGTCCATCCACCTAATTCTCAGCACAGGCTTCCTAGGTTTCAGGAACATACCTTAGGTAAGAGTCTATTCACCTAATCCTCGAATGCACAATGAAACTAGACAGTTGACCCTAATTCACAAACTGACTAAAACACTAAACATGATGCACCGAGATGTGACCCATGCTTCCTTAATTAAATCAACAGTGAAATTC